CATAGCAAGAACCTGTCTCCAAAAAATAAGACAAAACAAAAACAGCCATCTGCCCTGCCAGTTGGAAAACGAAAATTTAAAAAGCAAGCAAAGTTCAATCAGGGTTTTGTAGGAAAGACACAGGGGCAGAGTAAGGCAGCCTGGGACAGTCCCGCTGGCACAGACTATGTCCTAGCCTGGCCACAGGTGCTCAGCAGGAGGGTGTGCAGCTGTGAGAGGAACTGAGCACCTCTTCTCTCCACCTCCCAGGAATGAACCCCAGCCAGGTGACTGAGGTCAGCAACGTAGGGCATGTGGACAGCGTGTTCCCTGCGGGGTCTTCTGCCCCAAACCATAACCACAGCTGAGCCACTGGGGGGAGCCAAGAAGATTCTAACAGGGGCCTTCCTAAATAGGTTTGAGCAATGCCGCTCAAAGCTGTCAAAGTCATCAGGAACAAAGGAAGTCTGAGAAATGGTCAGAGCCAAGAGAAGCCAAAGGAGACGCGCCACTCAATCTGCATAAAGTACAGGCTTTAGTTCTTTTTTTTTTCCAAAAAGGAAAGTTTTATTTTTCTCTTACAATTCAGCTCATAGGCCAGCAAGGCAGAATTACAATGTAGAGGAGGAACAGCTCATGGTCTGGATGTGGGAAGCAAAGTGAGATTAAGGAAGGAAGAGAAGATAACTCTTCTAGGCCATGCTCCCAGCAAGCTTCAGTCCTTAGAAAACATATTCACCTCCTGTCCCTCTCTCAGACAGGAGCTTTCTTTCCCACAATAAATATAGTCTGTTCATAAAAAAAAAGAAAAGGAAATATATTCAGAGCTGGGGAGATAGTTCGGTGGTCTAAGCGTCTGCCTTGCAGGTGCAAAGACCCAAGTTTGCTCCCCAGGACTGCATGCTGTGCCAGCCCCAGAGTGCCAGGCGTGCTGTGCGAGCCACTGAAGCCAGGCACGGTGGCGCACGCCTCTAATCCCTGTGCTGGGGAGGCTGAGACAGGAGGGTCACTGCGAATCCAAGCTGTGTAACAAGACCTTGTACCAAATAAAGTAATAGAAGATTTTTTTTTTAATTTTAAATGCAGGGGGCCAGGGAGATAGCTCAGAAGAATAAGCGCTTCCCTGGCAAGTGTGAGGGCCTCAGTTCAATCCCCAGTTCTGCCAAAAAAAGTAAAAATAAAAAATGAATAAAATTTTAAATGCATTCAATGACCCCATCAGAGCCATGTAATTCAAAAATAAATAATCCGTTTGAAAAGGGAACAAAGCCTCAGGTGTGGCGGCACACATCTGTAATTTCAAGGCCAGCAGACTGAACTACATATCCAGAACCTGTCTTAAAAAAAAACAAAAAAACAAGGGCAGGCAAGATCACTCGGCAGACTAAGCGCCTGCTTAACAAGGGGGGGGTGTTGCATCCCCCGCACCGCATGCAGTGCCGGCCCCATCCCAGGGCCACACTGAGGGCCACCAAGACCAGGTTTGGTGGCATTGGCAATCCCAGCACTCGGGAGGCTGAAAACAGGAGGATCACTTTGAGTCCGAGCTGCATAGTGAGACTCTGTACCAAATACATTTTTAAAAATCATAGCACTTGAGAAGCCAAGGCAGGAGGATCAACTCAAGTTCAAGGCCAGCCAGCCTGGGCTACACAGTGAATTCAAGGTCATCAGGGTCTCAACACACACACACACACACACACACACACACACACACACACACACACGAAAAAGCAAAGCAAATAAGCAAACCAAGTTGCTGAAAAGCGATCCAAATTCCCAGCCCTGTATGGATTCTTCCAAGCTCGTTTGCACCTCTGCCTCTGCATTTTAGATTCCCACAGGTTTTTCTTTGAAGCTCACTGTCAAGAGTTAAACTTTTTACAGATTTATACTTTGCCCTGTCCCTGGGGAACCTGTTGCAAAACATCACAAGTTAAAAGTATTTTTTGGTGTTCTTTTGATGAAATGATCACTTTACAAGCTGATTTTTTTTTTTTTTTTTGAATACTGGTTTTTAGTAGTAAACTGGCTCCTAACAATCTGCTTTTCAGAGAACTGATGCTGGAAGCTGCTAGCGCTAAACATCTCCTAAAGCCTCTTTCTGGCTTAACCAAAGTCCCTAGAGAAAGCACTGGCATCCCCCTCTTACCCCAGGCACTGCTGGCGGGCACAGTGCAGCAGGGACAGGCACAAGCAGATGCTTTGAACTCTGCAGGGTGCTGAAAGAATTCTTGCACCCCCTCCTAGTAGGAGACCAAAGCAGAACTAGGGTGTATGGAGAGGTCCAAGCCACACAACTCACTTTTTTTTTAAATATGAAATAACATAACCCCCCTGCGGATTTTTGTTTTCTTGAACTCAGGACCTTGTGCTTGCCAGGCAGGCGCTTATTCCGCTGAGCTATATCCCCAGCCCCAAGCAGGTTTTCGAGTGTAAACCTTAATCACCTGTCTATCAGCCAGATTTGAGTAAGATCTGCCTTGCAGGTGATTGAAGTTCTAGGCATATCCAGATGATTGACAAGTAGGCCACAGACTGAGGCAGGAAGTCCCGCCCCCAAGGTGGGTGGTGCCAACCAATGAGCTTGCAGCCTGGACCTAACACAAGGGAAGTAAGACAGTCTCTCCTCCTCTGGAGCAGCTCCAGGCCTCAGCGCCTACTGCCTTTGGACGTTGGCCTACAGCTCCTCTGGCTTCCAGCAGACTCAGACTCTCACCCGTGACTCTGCGGCAGGCTTCCTGCCCTTGGCCTTCCACTGTTCTGGCTCCTCCCGCTCTTCTGTGCCTACATGGCCGTCGCCAACGTGGCCCTTTGCTATCTGATCTGGCCAATGGCCCTGAGCGCTCTTTCGCTCTTGGTCCTGTGCGCCGACCTCAGGAATCCCCTGTGCCACCGCACAAGTGTGGATGGTTCTCTGGAGAACCCTACCTCACACACCAAGGGGGGCTCAAGCACACTTAGCCTGGGGCTTCTGAAACTAAGGAACACCAGGAATTGCTGGGCTCCGAGACAACAGAGTGGAAGAACTTACTTCACTAGAAATGCTGTCAAACCCACAACTCTCCTCACAGTCCTGCCAGCCAGGGAGCATGGAAGGGTAACTGGTGGCCACTGGGTGGCTACAGCAGACTGCTACTGGTGTCCCTTGTGGGCCAGGCACTGTGCTACATGATTTATGGACTTTTCATGTAATTCATAGAAGAGTATTTGAGAGTGGACAGATGCTTAGCCGCAGAGCCAGTGCCCGAACCCAGGTGGCTCTGGCTCTGACGTCTGCGTTTTCCTTCAGCCCTTAAGCCAAGAGCCTGCATTTATTCTTCTGTTTAAGCATGAGGAGAACCGGCTAATTTAAGAGAAACTACTTATAAAGAGGATGGCGGGAAAGGAGGACTATGCAGGACTGTTCCCAATATGGGTAAGTTACCAGCACCACCACCACCAGCACCACTCCCACCACCACACCCGTCCTCCCACTGTGCCAGTCTTGTACGACTCCCAGACTTCAGGGTGCAGACACACTGGGTGGTGTAGTTGATGGCATCGGGGACTCAAGTGGATGAAGCAGAGGCAGGCACGGCCCCCGCTGGCCTCCTCCACCTCCTACTGACCTGGGAGCGTGTCCCCTTCCAACCCTTGGTCCTGCTCCAGGATGTGCTGCACAGTGAGGCCTCCACAGCGGTAGCGGTTCCCAAATAGCACCCTCTTCTCTGTGCCCCTGACGCCAGCAGTATAGGCTGCCAGCATTAGGGACCTTAGCGACAGCAGTCATGTCCTTCCCACCATTCACCTCTTGGACCACAGCCTTCTCAGTGCATCCCACAGCTCAGCCGCCCCATCCTGAGGGCGGCCCACCGTCCCCACACAACTGGCCAAAGCTGATAAGCAGAAGAACCAGGCGAAGGGAGACTGTCAGCCTTCCCTCCCAGCCCCATCTGGTAGCGTCTTCTCGTTCCCTTCAGGCCTCCCCCCACTCCCCACCCCCCTTGCTGTCTCTAAGGCAGTTGGATGGGCGCATCCTACCAAACATTCCACAAAGGGATGGTGGCCTCGGACAGAAACAGAAGCCTTCTGGGCTCACTTTTCTGAGTAAACTCTTGCCTGGCCCAGGCAGCCATTAACCCACTGGCCCCTGCTCTTACCATGATGGCCAACTCAGCCTCTTTTGACCTAGGAATTCTTCAGGTACCTGGTGGACACGGGCCCACGTCCAAGGCCACCTACTGCCTCTGTCCTCAGCTGTTCAGCAGGAATGGAAATGACTGGACTCTCCAGGTAGGGCACTAGGAAGGCCAGGCAATGCTGGTGCCCCCCTCTCGGGCCTGTCCATCAGCCATGTCACAGCTGGAGACAGGTAAGACCAGGCCCTCCTTTCCTGCTGGACTCATGAAGAGGGAGACCCTGAGATCTGCTCTGGGCCAGGGATGGCAGCCTGGGCCATGCAGTCAGCTGGGGTGCGGTAGGGGGCAAGAGCAACCGTGTGCCAGCAGACAACACTGAGAGGTATGGGGTGACTTCACACTGTGCTGCCCCAGTGTTGTGACAGGCAGCCAAGATGCCACAGAGCACCTGCAGCTCCTGATGGGCAAATCTCACAAGGCCCTAAGGACTCAGCCTTGTCCCCACCTGTCCTTCCAAATCCCCCTCACAGTGACGCACACCCCTCTACCTGCTTCCTCCAAGACAGGCCTCTGGCCACCTGTGTCCTTCCTGGTGGGCCCAGCCTGTTTAAACCTTTGTATTTCTTGAGTCCAGAACAACATCTGAGGAAGTGGTGACAGTTACAATGACAATATTGTGGGTGTCTCACACAAAGCGCTTCCTGCCAGGTGCTGTGCTGAAGCTCCCCGGCCCTCGAAGGTCCTCTGACAGTGACACTGACAACAGGTCCTGCTCCCTGACTTGCAGCCACCACCAGTGACTCCCTCGGGGCCACAGCATCCCAGGGTCCCCCACCACCACTGCAGCAGGGGGCTGCCATCCTCCCCAGAGCCCCTAGGAAGCACCAGCTGGACAAAGGAAACAGGAACATGTTGTCCTTTATTTGCATTTCTCAGAATACTGTACAAAGGGTGTAAAAATCCTATTCACACTTTGCTTAGAAAGATTTTAAGGTGAAAGTTCCCTAGGATGCATGGGGGGCAGGGGAGGGCAGGAGGCAAAGCCAGAGTGAGTGGCTGCCCTCCTCGCTCAGGCCCTGCTCCTCACAGCCCCTGCAGCCAGTTCCTGCCCAGCCCAGGCTCAGGCTCAGGCTCCTACTCGGTAAGGGGATGGCGCCCCGGGCCACTCCACACTTCTTGGGCCACTCCATGCTTCTCCCTCACCCTGCTAGGGCAGAGTACTGTGGACCAGCAACCCCGGTGTGTAGTGGCTCCCTGCCCCAGCGAGTGCCCACAGGAGCAGAGGCCCCACTGCCCAGCCTTTCTGCTGCAGCTTCCCACCCCCACACCCCTCACACCATCAGAGGGGGGGACCCCACAGGACCTGGCATCCATGGCTGCTCGGCCTCTCAACTGGGGAGCCTCCAGGCCCACAGCAGCCCCCGACCCACTCCACCTCCACTCCACAGGAGAAACAAGGCCCTCCCAACCACAGCTAGAAGAGGACGCTGGGTCCAGCTCCTCACTCAAGCCCTCTACACTCATCAAACACCCAACAGCCCGCTTCCTCTCCCAGCCTCCACCAGGTCGGACGGCCACCTGGACGGCCACCCGTGCCCCAGCAGGCTGCAGGGGAGCTGCAGAGCCTGAGGCTCTTGTGAGGCAGGTCAGGCACCACCACCATTTCCTGCGATCTGTACAAAAACACTGCGTGCCCCCAAGACTGAAACCAATGGAGACAATGGAGAAGCGTACCGTTCAGTCCCTCGCTGCCTGTGCAGGGGTAAAGTGCTTTGGGTAAACAAGTGAGCAGGGTCCTCCTCAGCCTCGGTCCCAACCTCGCAGTGTGCCGTCAGCTGGAGCCCAGCCCCTTCCCTGACCACCCCATGGAGTCTCTACTCAAAAGGCAAAAAGAAAAGATCGAAAAATTCAGAACGGGTTAGCGCCAGGGGGCCCACGTCAACCCTGCTACAAGCTATCCAAGTCGCTACTGGGGAAGCGCCAGAAACTAGGCCGGGAGGAGCCCTGGCTCCGCAGCTTCCGGGTCGGTCTTCAGCATCGCAGCAACGCATCCGCCCGTCCCTGCCGGCTCAGTACTTATTGATGCCAAAAATGCGCACTCCGTGCAGCTGGGGCAGCTTGGGGATGAGCACGCTCATCAGGGACACGGTGTTGAGGACGAAGTGGACCTGGTCGTACTTGGTGTAGAAGCTGGTGAGGAAGTACCTGCGGGGAGAGGGCCGGCCACAGGCGGCAGAGGGCTCAGGTTGGCCATCCAGGCTACCGCTGACCCACCCCGTCTCCCCAGCACTGCACCGGGCCCCCCGCCCTGCCCGCCCAGTACTGCCCCGGCCTGGCACTCACAGCACAATGGGTGTGATGGTCAGAAACTTCCGAGAGGCCGTGAACTGGACCCCGTAGTCCATCTGCTCCCAGTGGGTCAGCAACCTGGCTTTGCCCTGGTCCGGGGTCTCGAAGGGGGTCCCTTTCACTGTGTGCAAGAAGATGTACATGCCCTGGAGGGGAGGGGCCTCATTAGAGGATACAAAAGGCTCAGGGAGCCTGGCATGGTGATGCTCCACTGTAATCCCAGGACTCTAGGAGGCTGAGGTAGAAGGATTACAAATTCTTCAAGCCCAGGCTGGGCAACTGAGCCACTTAGAGACTGTCTCAATATTTAAAATAGCTTGATAAGACGGCCCTGGCTTCAATCCCCCAGGCCATAAAAGGGAAGAAAAACCCTTTAGAGTTCCAAGCTCAACTTTTCTACCCAGTAATAGTGCCAGGTGACCTCTGGCCTCCCTCTACTGGGCAGCGGGAACAGGCAAGAGGTCAGGATGGAACATCCGGGAGCCTGGCAGAACAAGGGGATCCCCGGGCAGAGCGCAAGCCTGGCATTCAGAGATCAAAGAACAGGCACAGAAGGAGATGCTGCCCTGAGGTCTTGCCGAAGCCTCTATGTGCCGGATGTTCCCGCCCCAGAGAGGTGGCAGGTGGACAAGGACAGAGAAGCAGGAGAGTGGAAGACACACAGTCTTGCTGCCCGAGGCGAGGCCCTAGGATCCCTGGGGGCTGGAGAGCCCTGAGGCCTGGGCTCAGCTCTCAGGGCCACCTTCCAGGGCCTTGAGCCATGCCATTGTGGAGACATGGACCCGGCTGCAGATTTGCTTCTTCCCACAAATGTGCGCAGGCTGGGCCAGGAGGGCATGGGGCAGAGACTGTCGACGGCCTGGGCTCTGGAGACAGAGGTCAGGGCGCCACCCAGCTACCTGGCCTGGAGCTCCATTGTGTGGTCCGAGGCTCTCACCATGTTGTGGATGAGGTTGGTGAGGGTCCAGACAACAGGGACGCTCACGAAGGGGATGCTGAGCAGCACAACGTGGAGGAGCCCGATGGCCAGCACATAGGACAGCCAGATGCCGCGGCTGTTCATCACCCGTGTGTTGGGGTTCACCTCGCTGTGCGCCGTGCCCACGTTCATCCTGCCACCCCTTATGCTGCTGCTCTGCAAACAAGCAGCACAGGTGAGACAGGTCACGCCACCTTCCCTGCCCCTTCACACCCGTGAGTTCTTCCCACAGAGTGGTCTAGCATTTGGATACTTGGGCAGGAGGCTGCAGACAGGCCCTCGGCCTTGGCTGTAGGCATTTCCACTGTGGGGCTGGATGAATATGGGACTGCCCTGCACGTCCTTACTTCTGGACAAGGCCTTGGCAGCACCTGGGAGGATGGGTCATTAGGAGGTGTCCACCCCACCCTACTCCCTCCAGCATTCCTGAGGGGGAGGAGGCTGCACAGAGCCTTCTCACTCAGTGTCCCGGCAGGACAGAAGACATCTTTTCCCTAAGCCGTTCCCTAGGGAATACAGGGGGAGAGGGGCCAATGGACACAGGCTGCTGCAGCGAGTGTCTGCACTTCACCACTCCCACCCACCCCTAATTCTCTAACTCTAGATTTCCCAGCCCACAGTAGGAAAGGGGAAGGAGAGAGGCAGAGCGGCAGGCCAGGCTCGACTTCTGCTCAGACCTGGAAGGCTCCCTGTTGGTAACACAAAAAAACACATCCAGACATTTTATCCATTTGGCAGCCTCTTGGACTAACCCTCCCAACACCACCCGTCCTGTTGCCAAACCACCACGTCCCTTTACCCTGCCAGAGAAGGGAAAGGGAGAACGGACAACATGGCCAGCACCCACAGCTCCACAGGTAGCAGGTATCGATGCCCCTCCCAAGACGTGGCCTCCCCCCACTTCCTCCTGGCTCTGCCCTGCCTGTCCTCACCCAACCTCCCTCCCTTGGCCCTGGGAGAAGCCCTGCAGTGGGAGGAACCAGAAGGGTTGTGCTTGCTGCCTTAGTTCCAGGGGGCAGCAACCTGAGGGAGCAGAGACAGCCAGAAGAATGGTCTGCCGCTGACCTGCTTGACCCCAGTGCCTGCAGGCCCTGCAGCCAGCAGGAGGTGGGATCAGAAGGAACCCGTGCACCTCCTCACCCACCTACTTGAGGTGGGGTCCTGCCTGCTTGAAAATCCCGAGATGATCACTGTGGCAACAGCCCCCTCTCTGGATGCTGGAGATATTCTGGGGGTAGTCAGACACCACCCACTTCATGCGATGCTGCTGCAGCCAGGCCCCCAGACTCACAGGCTTCTTTCCTTGGCTAGGATCCCCGCCCAGACTACAGGGGCTATGACTTGTCAGGGGCCACTTATTTCCTTACAGGATCATGGGAGAAAGTTTCCTCTTCCCAGGCAGGTCTGATCTTGGAAACCTCGGGCGAAATATGACCCACAACATAGTTTTCCAACAAGCAAACACACAGGAGCCCAGCCAGGTGCACTGCTAGCCAGACGCACTCTCTGGAAGGGATGCACGTGAAGCCAGGCTCATTAAGCTGCTAATTGGGCCCAACAGAAACCCAACGAACTAGAAAATCAGCTGTTTACCTTCCAAGGGCCCCAGGGACACCTACCAGGCAGCCCCTGGGACGCCTACCAGGCAAAAGCTTCCAGCTGGGGGCAGAGCTGGAGCTGCCTGAAACATCAGGCTCTGAAGGGCTTACAGAATGGAGAGGAAGGGCTCCCCAACTCTCACCAGAAACTGTATCACCCTCTCTCCACAAGCCAGCCCTGCAGCCCCTATTCTCCACAATCCTCTAGCCCTCCCCAGGATTTTGTCCCAGTGCTGTACTGAATCACAAGACCCCACGCCCCTTCTCACTGCGACAGGGCACCCAACAAAGCTCAATGAATCAAGGAAAGACCTAGACTTAGGCTCTAAGCTTTCCGAAGTCCTGGAAAGCTTCTTCCTGACCCCTGAACACAAAGTGGTCCCCCAAAAACATCAGTAAACGAAGAGAAAGGCTGGCGGCCAGAAAGTACTCTTGAGACTTTCCCCTTGCGATGGGTAGTAAGCAACTGACCCTTCTCCCATAAACAGAGAAACGGGGCTGACGCTGAAGAGTTTGGCAGCCACAGTTGGCAGGTGGCTGCTAGCACCGGCCCCTGAAGTGGTTTCACAACCTGTCTCAAACCAGAGCCCGAAGCAACTCTGTTCTCTTAACCACTTTTCTGCTGGTAGCTGTTATCCCGGCCTTCCTCCCGTGGGCTCTAGACACAAAAATCCGGGCTCAACGCGTCTGCGGACACTCACCCGAGGAACGGGGAGCCCCAGGGCGGCCACTAGGTGTTTCCCAATCCTTCCCGCAGAAAACAGCAGCTCTTTAAATAACTCACGGACCACCTTCTGGGTGAGCAGCACACCCACCCAGGCCCGGGGACCCCGACGGGGAATCTGCAGCTGCACCCCACGATGCCACTACAACTCAGTCCTCGTCCCCCACCTGCAGGCCCAGCTACAGCTCCGCACCTCTCCTCCGCCCAGCCTCCGGGACTCGAGAGGAGGCGGAGGGGAAAGAAAGCGAAGCCTCGCTGACTCCGAGGCAGGGCGAGCGAGGAGTCGGATCTCCGCTTTTCTTTGGGTTTTTCGGGTGGGACCCCAGGTGGAGCGACCTCGCACTCGGGCCCACTCCCCCATCTCCACGCGTCCCCCGGCCCGGAGAAAGTCGAACCTTGTCTCCGAAACCCAGCTGCTTCGCCCCCGCCCCCAACCGAGGCGCTCCTCCCCGGCGTTCCACCCCGGCCTCTTGATCCCCCTTCCTTGGTGGGCACCCTTCGGAAGCGACGCGCCCCTCGAACCCCAGTCACCCGGCCCAGGTCTCCCCCAGCTCGGGTGCCTCCCCAGAAGCCTCCTCGCATTTTCTCCTGTCCCTCCTCTAGCCCCGGAACCTCCTGTTCCGCCAGCCCAGGACCACCCGTCAGGACTCACCGCGCGGGGCTGGAGGTCGAGGCCCCGGGACGGCTCCCGGGAGCAAGGACCGGCTGCCCCAGCAGCTTCAACCACCAGCGGCGGCGGCTCCCTGCTGGCACCTAACACCGAATCAGCGCCCTGCGGCCGGCCCCACGGTGATGTCACGATCCGCGCCGGTCGCGCGATGCCTCCTGGGAGTTGTAGTTCTCTGCGGCGTTTGTACGCGAACCCTGCTGCGCCTTCTGGGAGTTGTAGTTCTGTTTCTTCTGGGGCCAGCACCTCCAAGGAAGCTAATTCTCCAGATTTGACCTGAAATCTGGCTCTGACTTCACTAGGACCAGCTGAAAGTTTTCCGCGATAGTGAGATTGGTCGGTATTACTTTGGTGTGTAGCAACTCCAGCTCTTGCACCTGCACCATGGAACTATGTTTTACCCTTGCCAGGGTTTTGCAGAGAAAGGAAGTTGTAAGTACCTTTCAGTAGATACTTGCTGAGATGCTCTGACCCCGACGCCGAGGTTTTCCCCATCCACTGCCTGAATCCTGGCCCGACACTGGCAACTCCAGAAGCAAGCTTGGTTCAGCCCTTTGACCTGCTGGACCCCTGGGGTTGGATTTTTAGACATTTGCTGAGATGAGGGTCTGCAGGGCAGAGAATGGAGCCCATACCTGGCCTGCTTCTCAACTACACCTGACCTAGGCTGCCCTGGGCCGGCTACATCCTGGGTCTCCCTGCAGCAGATATCAGAATAGGTCAGGTGCCAGAAAAAATCTCTTTTTTTAAAGCATCCTTGAGAAATGTGAGCTTTTGCCTCCTATCTGTGTGGCTTTGGGTGGGAAGACCTGGTCTGCAGTTTCAAGTGTGCGTACTCCAAAAGCGAGGGCACAGATTTTACAGCCAAAGCATACTGTAGATGCCCCTTTACTGGCAGTCTAACCCTGAGCTGATCGCTGACTTAATCTCCAGTTCCACACCTGTGAAATCCTATCTCCGCGGTTTTTGTGTGAATTCCAAAGTATGTGTGTAAAACACCTATTGCATTGTAAGAAGCCAAGCTAAATGAGTCCTAATGTCTCCTGGGTCACTCCCACTCTCCATGTCAACAAGAGGGCCTTGTCCCGGTAGTTTCCACTCCCCCGCCTGCCTCTCGGGCCACACTCTGCCCTGTGTGGCAGGGCTGGAATAGCAGGATCCAGCGATGCTGTGGCGTGCCAACTTGCTTTTCTAAATGCGCCCAGAAGTGAGTGTTCTGGTACAGAAAGGAGGAGGCTGGTCCAGGCTACCCAGCCCTTGTGCTGCTCACCCTCCTCTTTTCAGGGGGCTACCAGGAACCAGTTGCCACAAAGCTGGAGTGGAGCTAGCAGGCAGCTAGCAAGCACCAGGCAGCTGGGAATCTGAACAACACAGAGCAGTCAGCTTCTCAAATATTTCAAGCATTTATCTCATGATCCAAGTCACAAGCACAGGCCCTGAAAAAGCCCCATCTTGTGTCACCCAAAAGTGCATGCTGGCTGCCGGCGGTCCCTTTGCTTTCAGTTATCTCTCTGCAGACAAAGTAAACATCTGCAGCCAGTGGGACAGAATCTTGCCCGGCCTGTAGGCAAGGATAGTACCTCTAGTTTTTCCAAAGTGAGTCTTCTCCATGCCTTTGTCTTTTCTCCAGGATTCTTCCATCCACCATCAAGTTGGCCAAACGCTGGGTCTTGGCCAGTTTCTTCACAACTCTGTGAAGTTCAGTGACCAGACAGGGTCACCATCACTAGTGAGGCTCTGATGAATGCAGAGGCCATGGGAAAGTGTCCGGATGTGCATGACACATTAATAACTGGTTATCAAGGGTTCCTCCAACAGTAGGAACGCATAAACTTCTGGCTCACTCTGACCCATTGTAGACCACCTTCTGTCTCATTGAACCACAGTCTGTCCTCCTCTTTGTCCCTCTCCAGCTCCTGACCCACGTAATTACCCTGGAACCCAGCCCCCTTCCACTGTGGCTGGCCCTGGGACCTCTTCAGGATGAATGGCAACCCCCAGGACAAACAATCAGGACTGTGTGCCAGGAAGCTGAAAACTCTTCACGCCTCAGGGCCATAGTGACACATCAGGTAACGCTTTTTTTTTTTTTTTTTTTTTAAGTCTCACTATGTAGCCCAGCTGCCCTCGAATTTGTGGTGGTCCTCCTGCCTCAGCCTCCAGAGTACTGGGATTACAGGCATGCAAGACCATGCCCAGCCTGGTAGCACATTGTAAAGAAGCTTCCCCTGCATAGGAAAAGCTGCAGTGTGTGAGGAAGGCCATGCCAGCAGGAGCCACACGAGGGGAAGCTAGAGCCCGCTGAGAGCTTGAGGAAGAGGCTGTGGCCCACCCACTGACGGAAGGGCATGGGGCAGAGTACCTGCTGAGGCAAGCGCAGGCACCCACGGGCTGGGCCAGCCCTGCCACAGGCGTGCTGAGCCGGCCACCCCGGCGTGGTGCCACACGCCTGTAATCCCAGCACTGGGAAGGCCAAAAACAGGAGGATCACTAAGAGTCCGGGCTGTGCAGTGAGATGCTGTACCAAATACATTTTTAAAAAATGATAATATAATAAATAAATAGGGCTGGTGAGATGGCTCAGTGGTCTAAAGCACCTACTTAGAATAAGCTAAGCCAAGCAAAGCACAGGGACCACGGTTCAATCCCCCAGCACCACATGCCAGCCAGCCCTGCCCCCTGGTGGGCTGAGCTGGCCACACACAGACACAAAATAAATAAATAAATAAATAAATAAATAAAACTGTGGGGCAAGATGGAAAACTGTTTTCCAGGTTAGATGAAAAGGTAGGACACAAAATTCCTTATTCCCCAGGGATGGGGGTTCAGGGAAAATGAGGACAATCACACAAATCTTTTTTTTTTTTTTTTTTTCTGAGATAGATAAGGCCTCACTTTGGCATTCAGACTTTCTTCAAAAGACACAGACTGACCGAATGGATCAAGGAGCAAGATTCAACAATATGCTGCATACAAGAAACACATTTAATTCAAAAAATTCATAGACTAAAAGTCGAAGAACAGAAGACAGTACTCCATGGGACAAGAGCCCAGAAAAAAAGCAGCGGTGGCTATTCTATTTTCAGACAAAGTGAAGTTGAATCAAGGACTAAGAGACAAAGAACATTGCTACATCCTTGTAGAGGGAACAGTCGAAGAGGAAGAGGTAACAACCGTAAGTATATATGCACCAAATATCAGCTCACCCAACTATGTAAAAAAAAAAAAAAAAAAAAATGTTAACAGACATGAAAAATCAAATAAGGACTAAGATAATTATAACGTGGAACCTCAATACCCCACTGTCACAAATAGATCAACTAAATTTAAAAAAAATCAACAATGAAATACCAGAACTGAACCACACTTTTGAACAAATGGACTTAGTAGCTGTCTACAGAGTGCCCCACCCCACAGTATCAGAATACACATTCTTCTCAACTCTACATGGGGAATTCTCCAAAATAGAGCATGTACTAGCTCATAGGGCGTGCTGAAGTAAATGCAAAGGAGCTGAAATTGTTCCGTGCATACTACCTGACCACAGTGCAATGAAATTAGAAGTCAGTGGCAAAAGAAACCACAAGAACTTCATAAACACATGGAAATCAAATAGCGCCTAAACAGCCAATGGGTCACTGATGAAATCAAAGAAGAAAAAGGACAGTTTCTACAATTAAATGATGGGGCCGGGGAGATGGCTCAGTGGAATAAGCCCTTGCCTGGCAAATGCTGTGGCCTGAGTTTGATCCCCAGTTCCACCAAAATAAATAAATAAAATGCAATTGAATGATAAAGGACAATAGAACATACCAGAACTTATGCAAC